ACTACCGACTGACACCTGTAATCTCAGCTCTTTGGGAAACCCAGGCAGGAGGACTGCATGAGGCCAGAAGTTCAGCACCAGCCATTTTGCCCAGGCTGGTCTTGAGCTCCTGAGCTCAAGGGATGTTCCTGCCTTGGCCTCCTAAAGTGCTGGGATTACAGGCATGAGCCCCATCAGGTCTGGCCTGAACTAATATTTAAAATAAAAATAATAGTATAGGTTGAATATCCCTAACCTGAAAATCTGAAATTCTCCAAAATCTGAAACTTATTCAGTGCTGACACGATGCTCAAAGGAAATACTCATTGGAACATTTCAGATTTTGGATTTTAGGATTAGGGCTGCTGAACCTATAAGTGTATTGCATATATCCCCAAATCTGAAAAAATCTCAATTCTGAAACACTTGTATACCCAAGCATTTCACATAGGGACACTCAACATGTATTTGCTTTTAAAAAAAGAAAAACAAATCACTCTGGAGACAATATAGAACACAGGGGAAGCAGGAGTAGATATAGGGAGATCCCTTAAGAGGCCACTGCAGTAGACCAGATAAGAGGTGATGGTAGCTTGAGCAGGAGGGGACATGGAGCTAAAAGTGGGCAGACACAAGTGATATTTAGGAGGAAAAATTGCAAGAAACTTCATAATGGATTAAATACAGGGTTGTTGAGAGGAAAAAAAGGTGTTTTCTTAGGTTTCTGCCCTGGGCAACTGGATGAATGGAAATCCAGTTTGGTAGTTGGGGTGGAAAGGGGTAGGGCAGGGGGAGATGCTCATGATTTTTGTTTGGAATACTAAAGTACTGAATATGTTAAATGGAAGGTGGGATTTCTGCGTTTTGTTTCGTTTTGTTTTGTTTGAGACGGAGTCTCGCTCTGTCGCCAGGCTGGAGTGTGGTGGCGCGATCTCGGCTCACTGCAACCTCTGCCTCCCGGGTGATCTCTTGACCTCGTGTTTTCCAGATTTCTGCATTTTTAAGAAGTTTTCAGGTGACTCTGATGTATACCATTGTTTAAGAACTCTTGATGTTGGCCAGTTGCAGTGGCTGACGCCTGTAATCCCAGCGTTTTCGGAGGCCAAGGCAGGTGGATCACCTGAGGTCAGGAGTTTGAGGCCAGCCTGGACAACATGGTGAAATCCCATCTCTACTACAAATAAAACCCGGAGGCAGAGGTTGCAGTGAGCCGAGATTGCGGCACTGCACTCCAGCCTGGTGACAGAGCGAGATTCCATCTCGAAAAAAAAAAGAGAGAGAGAAAAAGAACTGTTGATATAAAGAAAAAGAAATAGAGAATTATTGATGGAGGAGTATCCAACTGTTAGATCAGACAGTGGGAATGACACAGAAGACAATGGAAGAAAGTGGTTGGTTTTTGTTTCAGTTTTGAGACAGGGTCTGGCTCTGTTGCCCAGGCTGGAGTGCACTGGTGCAATTACAGCTCACTGCAACGTCCACCTCCTGGTCTCAAGCCATCCTCCCGCTTCAGCCTCCTGAGTAGCTGGGACCGCAGGCGCACACCAGCACACCTGGCTAATTTTTTAAAAAATTTTTTGTAGAGATGGGTTTTTGTCATGTTGCCCAGGCTGGTCTCAAACTCCTGAGTTCAAGGGATCTGCCCGCGTTGGCCTCCCAAAGTGCTGGGATTACAGATATGAGCTGCCACGCCCGGCCTGTTTAGCTGTTTCTAGGAAAGTGACTGGGGTTGGAACAGAGGTTACAAGCATTCCTGTCCATCCTGCTTTGAGCCAGCTCAGCTCTTTTTTATGTATATTTTGTGCTAATTTGTTTGCCAAAAGACTTCTTTGCAGCAGGGCCAGTGCAACTCTTGACTTTGTCTCCTTTTATCACTAGCCTTTTGGCCTCAGCAGTGCCACCAATTCCTTTCCTTTTGTGGAATTGGGCCCTGGACCCACTGACCCCAGTGCAGTGTATCAGATTAGTTTCAACATCTTGTCTGGATTTCTTTTACTTTTTCCTGAGGCAAGGAGATCAAAACCAAACAGCTGTAGTCTTGACAAGCTATTTTAGTAATCACCTAGGGATACTACATTTTCCTCTAGAAATCTAATCTGTAATTTTTTTTTCTTTCTTTTCTTTTCATTTTGTTGTTGTTGTTGTTGTTTTCTTTTGGTTTTGTTTTGTTTTGTTTTGTTTTGGTTGAGACAGGGTCTTGCTCTCTCGCCCAGGTTGGAGTGCAGTGGTGTAATCTGAGCTCACTGCAACCTCTGCCTCCTGGGTTCAAGCAATTCTCGTGCCTCAGCCTCCGGGTAGCTGGGACTATAGGCACACGCCACCACACCTGGCTAATTTTCGTAGAGATTTTGCAGTCTCACTAATGCACCTTAATATAACAGTTTCTCTTGTGAGGTATCACCCTGAGTTCTTTGTCTCAACTCCAAAATGATTAAGGAGCATGGTCACAAGGGTGAAGTTTGAGCGAAAATGTAATAAGCAAGAGAAAGCTCTCTGCAGAGAGGGGAGTCCGAGTGGATTGCTTGGTTACAACTGAATGCAAAATGTTTTTATAAGAAACTGCGGCCAGGCGCGGTGGCTCACGCCTGTAATCCCAGCACTTTGGGAGGCCGAGGCAGGCAGATCATGAGGTCAGGAGTTTGAGACCAGCCTGGCCAACATGGTGAAACCCCATCTCTACTAAAGATACAAAAAATTAGCCAGGCATGGTGGCGGCACCTGTAATCCCAGCTACTGGGGAGACTGCGACAGGAGAATCACTTGAACCCGGGAGGTGGAGGTTGCAGTGAGCTGACGTGCCACTGCACTCCAACTTGGGCGACAGGGCGAGACTCCGTCTCAAAAAATAAAAAGAAAGAAGAAAAAAAAAGAAACTGCTCTCCTCCTTGTAACTGATTGAGTAATTTTTCTTATCAGTAAAGCTGTCTGTGCAACTCCCTTTTTCCAGCTGTGGGATTGTTTCTAAGCACAAAGCACAGCTTCTCTTGTTTGTATAACTGTGGGTTTTTTTAGGTAAGCCCCACTCCTCCCTGTACAAGTTCCCACGGAGCCCACTGTGTATATGCCTGAAAAGGTGAGGAAACTTTTTCCTGGGAGCTCACTAATTATACAAAGAACAAAAAGGCTTCTTTGCTTCACTGGCTCCTTATCTGTCCAGACTTAACTGTGCAGCTGCAGCAGCTGTGATTTTTCAGGCAAGCACTTCTCGGGGCCCAGCCTTAACTGTTTATCTAACGGATTTTCCTTTTCTTTCCCCTCAGAGATGGGGTTTCACCATATTGCCCAGGCTGGTCTCGAATTCCTGAGCTCAGGCAATCTGCCCATCTTGGCCTCCCAAAATGCTGGGATAATAGGTGTGAGTCACCGCATCCGGCCATTTTTATTTCTGAAAATTGAGTTCTCTAATATACTTCAATAAAAAATCTATGTTTCATTTATTAGAAATTTGTTAACCTCATATCAGGCACTGTGCTAGGCACTTGTTATTTCAAATTAAATAAGACATGGCTATGTCAAGGAGCCAGGAAAAACTGATACCTGTATACTTGCATACATCCCTGTCTAGCTTTTTTCTCTTGATAAATAGAAGACAAAAAATTGATAGAAGATAAAAACTGATTAAATTTTAAAATATCTAGACCGGAATTCAACTTCTTTGTGTGAAAAAGAAGGCCAAAGTCATCTCTTTGGTTGAGACTGTAATTAAAGGGATCTTTTAATGTATATATTATGCAGCCCGGATGTTCCCTTTCTTTTTCATGATGCCTCTGTAATTAAGATGCAGATTTCCCCCCAAAGGAGAGTGTTTTTTCTGTGGTCTTAACTCAGATTCATAGATCTCAGCAAATCTATGGATTCGTGGCTTTGTGGGTCCTTAAACCTTTCACAATTATATGCAAAATTGTGGAATTTGGTATACATGAGTGCTTTTCATATTTATTTTTAATCCAGAATGGATCAAAAAGAACAATCATGAAGGATGTAGGTGCCAGACACAGGGCAGAGGTAGCTAGAAAAGTAGATCTTAGGGAAGTTAGGGCCCCTAGCCTCACTAATCTACAAACATGGCACGGCCAGCTTGCCTTGCAAAGCCTCTGTTGAAGGACCCCATGAATTCTTAAAATAGAGTTCTTAATTTTTATCAAATTCTCAAATGATTCTGTTACCCCAAAATATTAAGAATTATTGTACTATTAAAAAATTTATTAGAGACTAGTCCAAGCAACATAGTGAGACGTCATCACTACTAAAAATTAAAAAAAAAAAATTAGGGGTGTGGGGCTGGACACAGTGGCTCACACCTGTAATCCGAGTACTTTGGGAGGCCAAGGCGGGTGGATCACCTAAGGTCAGGAGTTCAAGACCAGCCTAGCCAACATGGTGAACCCCTGTCTCTACTAGAAATACAAAAATTAGCTGGGCGTGGTGGCACATGCCTGTAATCCCAGCTACTCAGGAGGCTGAGGCAGAATTGCTTGATCCTGGGAGGTGGAGGTTGCAGTGAGCCAAGATCATCCCACTGTACTCTGGCCTTGGCAACAGAGTGAGACTCCATCTAAAAAAAAAAAAAAAACAATTGTTAGAGACCAGCCCAGGCAACACAGTGTTTCTCCTAAAAACAAAAATTAAAAATTTGGGGCATGGGGCATGGTGGCACACACCTGTAGTCCCAGCTACTCAGGAGGCTGAGGTGAGAGGATCCCATGAGCATAGAAGTTTAAGGCTGTAGTGGGCTACAATTGAGCCACTGCACTCCAGCCTGTTTGATAGAGCAAGACCCCATCTCAAAAAATGAAAACAACAAAAACTTACTAGGTTTTGGTTTATGACTATTTAACATCATTTACTTTTTAGATGTTCTCACTGGAGGAAAGGGAAATTGAAGGTATAATTTGTACTTCTCTAATTTATCAATACAATTTTTATATTAATACAATATTTGAAACTGACATTTAAACATTAGAATTTATTTTTACTTTTAACAATGTTGTGAGCATGCTACATTTTTTGTTTGTCTTTAGTACCAGGACCCTCTGGTGATAATGGCATCAGTGTTACTATGATCTTAGTGGCCTGGATGGTTATTGCATTGATCTTGTTCTTACTGAGACCTCCGAATCTAAGAGGATCCAACCTACCTGGAAAGCCAACCAGTCCTCATAATGTAAGTATTGCACATTTTAAATGCTTTTTGGGTAAGGGAATGTATGTGACCTGGGGCAGGGAAGGACTTGGTTTTGACTAAAATACCTAAATTAGTTAAATTACATTTAACTCATAGAGTATTCTACCTATGTAGTTCTATTAAATCTTGCAATTCCAAGATTTAATTGATGGCTTAATCTTTGTGGCGTTAAATGCAGAAAGAAGCACAGACCAGAAGCCGAAAATTAATTTGAAAATGAATTCCAATTTTTTTGTTGTTGTTCAGACAGGGTCTTGCTCAGCTGCCCAGGCTGGAGTGCATTGGTGCGATCTTAGCTCACTGTAGCCTCTACCTCCCAGGCTCAGGTGATCCTCCCACCTCACCCTTCTGAGTAGCTGGGACCACAGGCATGCACTAGCACACCTGGCTAGTTTTTTGTATTTTTTTTTGTAGAGATGGGGTTTTGCCAGGTTGCCCAGGCTTGAATTCCAATCTTTACTCGCATGAGAAGCATTATGAAATAATCCATTTCATAATCCACAGCAATATTGCTTAAATCTCAATCCTCCACTACTCAGTTCTGTCCACCTCACAGTTGATCCCTTGTCTCTCATGCTTCTAGCCTCTAAACTCTTAGTAGCTTCAGCTCAAATGTTTGACCCCCTTCTGTCCTAGCTATTCAGTAGAGACACTGAGCCTGTCTGACTTTATTTTCCTCATTTTCCCATCCTATTTCTCTCAAACCCATTTTCCATTTCTGTACCACAACAAATCAACTGAGCTGGCAAAAGGAGAGGTGAGAATCATTCATGTTGATAAATCTTGATAGTCATGATTACAACCATTTTTAGAACCTTCTAAATTAAAACTGTGATAAAGTGACCCAACAGGGAGTTTTCAGTACTATCTTTAATAGAAACTCTGTTGGCCAGACGCGGTGGCTCACACCTGCAATCCCAGCACTTTGGGAGGCCAAGGCGGGCAGATCGCCTGAGCTCAGGTGTTCAAGACCACCCTGGGCAACATGGTAAAACCCCGTCTCTACTAAAATACAAAAAATTAACCGGACATGGTACCCTGGGCAACATGGTGAAACCCCGTCTCTACTAAAATACAAAAAATTAGCCGGACGTGGTGGTGTGCGCCTATAGTCCCAGCTACTCAGGAAGCTGAGGCTTGAGAATCATTTGAGCTCAGGAGGCAGAGGTTGCAGTGAGCCAAGATCACACCACCACACTCTAGCTTGGGCTACAGAGTGAGACTGTGTCTCAAAAAAAAAAAGAACCTCTGTTAAAGGATTCCTTTTAATTCTTTTCAGAACCAGTATTTATGTGTGTGTTTTTTTTAACATTGAATTTGAATATTATCTCTTTAAAAATATTTCCATGAGGCTGGGCACGGTGGCTCACGCCTGTAAGCCCAGCACTTTGGGAGGCCGAGATGGGCAGATCACCTGAGTTTAGGAGTTCGAGACTATCCTGGCCAACATGGTGAAACCCTGTTTCTACTAAAAATACGAAAATTAGCTGGGCATGGTGGTGGGCGCCTGTAATCCCAGCTACTTGGGAGGCTAAGGCAAGACAGTTGCTTGAACCCAGGAGGTGGAGGTTGCAGTGAGCCAAGATCGCGCCATTGCACTCCAGCCTGGGCGACAAGAGTGAAACTTCGTCTCCAAAAAAAAGAAAAAGAAATTTCCATGAATATGCCAATTACCTCAATTTAGCCATTCTACAAATGTATGCATATTTCAAAACATGTTGTATATGACAAATATATACAATTTTTGTCAATTTAAATAAATAAAATGTTAAAATTTATAATTAAAAAAACTATAAGATGATAGAGCATCAAAAAAAAAAGGGAAAATTTCCATGATAGATTTGCTCGTTTTTTTGTTTGTTTGTTTGTTTTTGAGATGGAGTCTCACTCTGTCACATCCAGGCTGGAGTGCAGTGGTGCAATCTTGGCTCACTGCAGCCTCTGCCTTCCGGGTTCAAGCGATTCTCCTGCCTCCCCTTCCCGAGTAGCTGGGATTACAGGTGCGCACCACATCTGGCTAATTTTTGGATTTTTAGTAGAGATGGGGTTTCACCATGTTGGCCAGGCTGATCTCAAATTCCTGACCTCAGGTGATCTGCCTGCCTCGGCCTCCCAAAGTACTGGCATTACAGGTGTGTGTCACCACAACTGGCTAATTTTTGTATTTTTAGTAAAGATAGGGTTTCGCCATGTTGGCCAGGCTGGTCTCGAACTCCTGACCTCAGGTGCTCCGCCTGCATTTGCCTCCCAAAGTGCTGGGATTACAGGCATGAGCCACCGTGCCTGGCCAGATTCACTTGTTGAATACCAAATTATCCCACTAATTCTCTTTTCCAACCTTTACCATGTGGAATTCCTGAAATAATTGTTTCTTTTCTCCAGTGTTGTGGTGTTGATATCAGAAGTTCAGTTAGACTCATTTTTTTATATAAGAGAAAGCAAATATGCTGTGTTAATTAGTCAGTGTTTTGCTTTGTTTTTAAAGGAGTAGAACATATGTAGTATAGAAAGAAAAAAAAATCGAAAAGAAAAACATACACAAAAAAGATACATAGCATGCTAACTTTAAGAAAGAAGGCATTATAGGCCGGAGGCAGTGGCTCATGCCTGTAATCCCAGCTACTCAGGAGGCTGCGGCAGGAGAATTGCTTGAACCCAGAAGGCAGAGGTTGCAGTGAGGCGAGATTGTGCCATTGCACTCCAGCCTGGGCAACAAGAGCGAGACTCTGTCTCAAAAACAAAAAAAGAAAGAAAGAAAGAAAGAAAGAAAGAAAGAAAGAAGGCATTATTAGCACTATATAAAAAGCTTTACATGTATTTTTGTTTTTTCTTGGAGAAGAGAGTATTTATAAAACAGTTTGCATATTGTCTTGATAAAGTGTTTATTCCTTAGCCGTCTTTCTTACTTTCTTTGTATAGCTTTGTTACTTTCATATCAAAGAGTAACTTCCTCAATGTTTGGAGCTAAAGAAATAGAATTCTCAATAATCTGACTTAGAAACCATTAAAATGGGCTGGGTGCGGTGGCTCGCACCTGTAATCCCAGCACTTTGGGAGGCCGAGGCGGGTGGATCATTTGAGGTCAGGAGCTGGAGACCAGCTTGACCAACATGGTGAAACCCTGTCTCTACTAAAAATACAAAAAAAAATTAACCGGGCATGGTGGCACATGCTTGTAATCCCAGCTACTCGGGAAGCTGAGGCAGGCGAATCACTTGAACCCCGGAGGTGGAGGCTGCAGTGAGCCGAGATCGCACCACTGTACTCCAGCCTGGGCGATAGAGTGAGACTGTCTCAAGGAAAAAAAAAAAGAAACTATTAAAGTGACAGAAATGCAAGATTATACTCTCCTGGACCTTAATTCATTGTAGACCAGTGTTTCTAGGAATAGTAGTTCCACTATCTTAGGAATAAGTAAGAAAATGTGTTGAGACTAATTCCAAGTAGAAATACTGATCACCCCCAACTCGGGCCTCATACATCATTTCAGGGTAAATAAATAAAATCTTGAGAATCTTAAAAACTCTGATCTTTCCTTTATAGTTCACTTGCTTTCTATTGCAAGTTAGCAAAAGCCAATCCAAAGCGGTTTAAAACAAGTGGCTTCATTGATTTACACATCAAAAAAATTCAGAGGTAGGGTCAGTGTTAAGAAAGTTTAACAGTGTCATCAAAGACCCAGTTTCTTTCCTCTTACTATCAACTTCATTCCAACATGGGCTCCCCTTAGGGTCATAGGATGACTGCCAGAAGCAACTGCAGCCACATGCTTCCTCGTAGACATTCAGTATTGAGAAACAAAAGTCCCTAGCTTCATTTTAAATATACAGTACTTCGATTAGCCAATCAACCTTAGCAAGAGGGATGAAGATACTTTCATTAGTTTGAAGATCACTCCTGGGGCTGGCGACCGAGTGAGACTCTGTCTCAAAAAAGAAAAAAAAAAAAAATTCCGGAATTGTTTAGCAAGCCTGGAAATTTTACCATTACATTCTCCTGGTTAACCAGTCAAGATGTCAATGCATAATCCTGCAAGTATTATATCTGTGACACTTTGAAAATTACCATATTAATGCAATGCAGACTGTGTGTCAGCTAATGTGGTTGCTGGCAGGAGTGATAACATCACTGTTATACAGATTCCCTCTCTCTTCCATTCTACAGGGAAAAATGAGACAAATGGTGGAAAATCACAGTGTTATTTAATCTAGTGTTCCCTCGTGTAAAAACATATGAAAAGTCCAAATAAGCATATACTTGGGATGGGATGGTGGGGGGCATTGCTGCTCAGTTCTTTCTCTATGTGTTAGATTGGTTGCACTGGGATTTAATAAGTCAATTTTTAAAAAAGTAATAAAATAAATTTTAAAAAACTTTAAATTTTTTAAAAGTCAGTTAAATAATTTCTTTCTTTCTAATGCCAGGGACAAGATCCACCAGCTCCTCCTGTGGACTAACTTTGTGATACGGGAAGTGAAAATAGTTAACACCTTGCACGACCAAACGAACGAAGATGACCGGAGTACTCTTAACCCCATTAGAACTGTTCTTCCTTTTGTATCTGCAATATGGGATGGTATTGTTTTCATGAGCTTCTAGAAATTTCACTTGCAAGTTTATTTTTGCTTCCTGTGTTACTGCCATTCCTATTTACAGTATATTTGAGTGAATGATTATATTTTTGAAAAGTTACATGGGGCTTTTTTGGTTGTCCTAAACTTACAAACATTCCACTCATTCTGTTTGTAACTGTGATTATAATGTTTGTGATAATTTCTGGCCTGATTGAAGGAAATTTGAGAGGTCTGCATTTATATATTTTAAATAGATTTGATAGCTTTTTAAATTGCTTTTTTTCATGAGGTATTTATAAAGTTATTTGAGGTTGTCTGGGATTGTATGAAAGAAAATTAGAACCACGTTGTATTTACATTTACCTTGGTAGTTAATTTGTGGATGGCAGTTTTCTGTAGTTTTGGGGACTGTGGGAGCTCTTGGATTGTTTTGCAAATTACAGCTGAAATCTGTGTCATGGATTAAACTGGCTTATGTGGCTAGAATAGGAAGAGAGAAAAAAATGAAATGGTTGTTTACTAATTTTATACTCTCATTAAAAATCTCTAATGTTAAGAAAACCTTAAATAAACATGATTGATCAATATGGCAGATGATTTACAGTCCATTATATAACATTTGTAAGCCACTCAACACTAGCCTTACAAGGTTCATGAAAGGAGGAAAACATTAATTCTTTCTGCCTTTGCTGGTATAATCCACATAATAATTTAAGCTATAATTTATTTTTAAAATGAGTGCCTCTTGGGAAGTTTCTTTTCTGTTCTAACACTGCCTGTTAAAATGAAAATCTTAGGCTGGTGCGGTGGCTCACACCTGTAATCCCAGCACTTTGGGAGGCTGAGGTGGGCGGATCATTTGAGGTCAGGAGTTTGAGACCAGCTTGGCCAACATGGTGAAACTCTGTCTCTACTAAAAATACAGAAAAATTAGCCAGGCGTGGTGCATGTGCCTATAATCCCAGCTACTCAGGAGGCCAAGGCAGGAGAATTGCTTGAACCCAGGAGGTAAAGGTTGCAGTGAGCTGAGATCGCACCACTGCACTGCAGCCTGAGCGACAGAGCAAGACTCTCTCTCAAAAATAAAAATAAAAATAAAATCTTAAAGCTGTATTAGGGCCTGTTAGGTTACTGATATTTGAATGCCTATTTACTTATTTACTCCATTGAGTCCTTTGTTATCCTCTGACCTATAAAAAATTTTAATAAATAACAGGTTTACTTCAAGGGAAAAGAAGGAAAATGAGAAACAAACATCTTTTTTTCACTCCTTATCTTATTCCTGTTTGGGGATGGGATGGATTGGGGTAGGAAGGAATGTTAATATGAGAGAAATTTTGAAATGTATAAAAAAAGTAAAAGGTTGTATTGTTTTGCTCAGTTTGAAATAAAGTGAATACCAATAGCACTTAAAAATGTCTGCATGGGCCGGGCGCGGTGGCTCACACCTGTAATCTCAGCACTTTGGGAGGCCGAGGCGGGCGAATCACCTGAGGTCAGGAGTTCGAGACCAGCCTGACTGACATGGTAAAACCTCGCTTCTACTAAAAATGCAAAAATTAGCCAGGCATGGTGGTGTGTGCCTGTAATCCCAGCTACTAGGGAGGCTGAGGCAGGAAATTGCTTGAACCCGGGAGACGGAGGTTGCAATAAGCTGAGATCGTGCCACTGCACTCCAGTCAGGGCAACAGAGCGAGACTCTGTCTAAAAATAAATAAATTAATTAAAATGTCTGCATGACCCATGTGGTTATGAAGTTTTTTTCCTAGCAAATGATTGCAGATTATTTATGGGGGCTAGAAGATATTTTGCTATCAATGTAAGGATTTTTTTCCCCTTAGGTCAGTCTATTCACTGTTTAGATCTGGTAAATTACTTGTATGAATTGAATAAATTCTCTGTATCATTGTACTGTTTAATAGTCTGTGATACAATTGTGATACTCATAAGAGATTTTTTCCCCCTTATTATGATTACATTCTAGATCATAAACATTGTAAGGGTATCTTTTAGTTATATAATCCAATGTTGATTGTTTGAATTCCTCCTTGTACACATCTTGGCTTTGTGCTCAATTTCTTGAAATAATATAACCAACTCTGAATTACGTGTGTTAATAGATGGGTAACATAACACAGGTAAGTTAAATCCTGGGTGAATGAGCCCCACAGAATAAAGGTTTTTGTGGCCTACTGGAAGCCTTCCTAACTCTACAGCTGGTGAAGTAGAGCAGAAAGGACCAGAATGGCTTAAGATGGAGCTAAATCCCTATAGCATTCCATTTTCTGCTCTTGCCTCTTGAACTTAGAAGGCTTGCCCATATATATATCCTAACAATCTGTTCTCTGAGCTGCTAGAAGGCCAATCCCTGGCAAGAGATACTGATGTAGTCACTGAATCTATGGCTCACAAATAATTGAAAATTGGCTCTGGGGGCTGGGCGCAGTGACTTATGCCTATAATCCCAGCACTTTGGGAGGCTGAGGCGGGTGGATCACTTGAGGTCAGGAGTTTGAGACCAGCCTGGCCAACATGATGAAACTCCTTGTCTACAAAAAATACAAAAATTAGCTGGGTTTGGTGACACAGCCTGTAGTCTTAGCTACTCAGGAGGCTGAGGCAGGAGAATTGCTTGAGCCTGGGAGACAGAGGTTGCAGGAAGCCAAGATCACGCCACTGCACTCCAGCTTGAGTGACAGAGTGAGACCTTGTCTCAAAAAAAAAAAAGAAAAAAAAAAAAGACTTTAGAAGGCTTTATTGGAAGAAGTGGCTGAAACTTGGACACAGAATGTCTAGTATTACACCTAAGAATCTGGATTCTTTTTTGTTGTTGTTTTGAGATGGAGTTTTGCTCTTTCGCCCAAGCTGGAGTGAAGTGGTGCGATCTTGGCTCACTGCAACATCCACCCCCGGGTTCGAGCGATTCTCCTTCCTCAGCCTCCCGAGTAGCTGGGATTGTAAGTGCCCACCACCAAGCCCGGCTAATTTTTGTATCTTCAGTTAGAGACGGGGTTTCGCCATGTAGGCCAGGCTGGTCTCAAACTCCTGACCTCAGGTGATCCACCCACTATGGCCTCCCAAAGTGCTAGGATTACAGACGTGAGCCACCGTGCCTGACTGGAAAATCTAGATTCTTTTTCCTAGTTCTTCATTTCTGTCACATGCACTTAGTTGACATTACGTCTATGTGTATTAGCTTTTTCCTACATGAACCATCTATTTACTTGGTAACCAGTGTTCTTAATGAAGTATTTAGTCTTGGGTTTCTTGTAAAATTTCTCTGCATTCCTGAAACAGTGTACTATACATGAAATATTCTTGTTGACCTAGTAATTTATATTATTCTATTTAATTCTTAAAGCTTCTACCTGTGGCCTTTTTATTGAGCACACTCTTAAGTCATTATTTGGCTTGTAAACATTCACCTGAATTGTGGCTACAATCCTTTTTAAATAATCTGCAAAAAAAGAAAGATAAAGCTTACGTTTTCACAGTTTTGACTCTTAAACATATTCCACAAATGTCATTAAGAATTTATTTTGTTTTAGACCAGTCATGGTGGCTCATGCCTGTAATCCCAGCAATTTGGGAGGCTGAGGCAAGAGAACTGCTTGAGCCCAGGAGTTTGAGACTAGCCTGGGCAACATAGCAAGACCCTGTCTCTGCCAAAAAGAAAAAAGTAAAAAAGCTTATTTTGTTTTATGCACAATAATGGTGGGAGGTTGTTTTGTTTTTTGTTTGTTTGTTTTGTTTTCCATGTGGAAAAGGTTAACATTGGAACTGTTTCTAGTAAAAGATTTTTTTCAGGCTGGGCATGGTGGTTCATGCCTGTAGTCCCATCACTTTGGGAGACTGAGGCAGCCAGATCACCGGAGGTCAGGAGTTTGAGACCAGCCTGGTCAACATCTCTACTAAAAATACAAAAGTAGCTGGGTGTGGTGGTGCATGCCTGTAATCCCACCTACTTGGGAAGCTGAGGCAGGAGAATCACTTAACCTGGGAGGCAGAGGTTGCAGTGAGCCAAGGTCATGTCATTGCACTACAGCCTGGGCAACAAGAGTGAAACTCTCTCTCAAAAAAAAAAAAATGTTTTTCATTTTTTTCATGTTATCTATCCAAGCACTGTCCCATGGTCAGCAAGTCATATTTTACAATGTGGATTTTCCAAAATAATTATTGAATACAGCTATTCTATGGTTACTTTTAGTGTTTTTGTGGTATGTGGTGTGGGAGTGTTTATGGAATTACCAGTATCTTACATTTTCAAAGGAACCTTGGAAGTCTGTCACTCTAAATGAAAGTCTGTCACTCTACATGAATTATGTGCTCAAATTTGACCAGCTCAGTTTAAGACACAAAACAGTAATTTGAAGAAGGAAAAATGAAGAGTTTACAGTTTAATGGGTTAAATTTTTGTTCTTGCAATAGTAAATTTAGTCTTATATTTCTAAATGTGTGAAGATTGCTTTGTTAAAAGCAAAAGTGGTCGTGTGATATGCTAAATGTTAATTACTGTTTTTATATGTTTAAATCATGCCAAACAAATCATGTCTGTGCCATCCAGGGTCTATTGTTAATCTTTTTCTGAGTACTTGGATTGGGATAAAGGGCTTGTACTATGCACTTTTTATTAATGAATAAATAGAAAATATTAGTAACACTCTTTGTTTTCTGTTTGGCTTTTGTGGGAAGAGAAGCAAGCATCTTTTGCTTAGTAGGTGTTAACATCCTATATTAAACAGTTTCTTTGTAAGACCTAACTAAAGACATTCCTAAGAGAGAACTTAAGTTTTAAGAAAAGTTGTGAGAAAAATATTTATAAAATACGTAGTATGGGGCCAGTATTCAGAAGTAGAGCTTCTCTCTTGGAAATTAGATTGCAGTCACATTTCTTTGGTTATTTTCTTTCTCTATCTCTCTCTCTCTTCCTAGAATACCAGATAAAATAGACATTTGCTTTGAGGGACTAATATCCAATAGTGTTAATTATTTAAGCAGATATATCTTGCTGAAAAGGAGCTAGACATGTCACTGTACCAAAAACACACAAAAGTGAAAATTTGCTTCTGTTCTGTGACCTAGAATGTGTCCAGACATTAAAGATCATGAATACTCATAAACATGTAAAAGTAGTAACATTGCTCTGGCATGATTTTGATGTCAGTGTGTATGTAATAACTTAAGTGTTATTTAAAATAGATAAATTTGTGAAATAATTTCTTGTAGACAGTCAACTTTTTATGATTCAATCTAAAGATTGTTATGTACATGTCAACGGATATCTGAATCCTCAGTGAAACTGTAAGTTTTCATTAAATGACTCTGCCGCAATACTAGTTTTCTTCTCAGAAAGTGGAATTCAAATAAAATAAGTTTTTTGGTCCTGGTATTTCACCTGATGATTTTCTTAGTTCTGGATCTCAATTTGTAGAGTTGTTGGGGGCTTTTCCCCCCAAAAGATGATTCATAAACACCAACTACAATTATCTTTCATGACCATATTTTTAAAAATTGGAGTTACCAGTGTGATCTTTTCCCATTAGTTGCTTGTAGGGGACTTTAGTGTGCATATCTCTTCTCAGACAAATGTATTATGTTCGTTCAATAAACATTTCAACAAATTTTTAGACTTGTTTCTTAACTTTCTGTAGACTTTAAAATGGATTTTATTCAGGATTTGATTACAGAAACTATTTCAAACCATCAGATGCCAAATTAAGATGTCTCCTGAAGTTAGTGGGGAGATGTCTGGGAGGCAAGGATTATGTAGGGGTGAAAACAATGTATGTCGTTTTAAGGGTAAAGCAACTTACTTTTTTTTTTTTTTTTTTTTTGAGACATAGTATCACTCTGTCACCCAGGCTGGAGTGCAGTGGCACAATCTCAGCTCACTGCAACCTCTGCTCTCCCGGGTTCAAACAATTCTCCTGCCTCAGCCTCCCGAGTAGCTGGGATTATAGGCACCTGCCACCGCACCCGGCTAATTTTTGTATTTTTAGTAGAGACGGGGCTTCACTATCTTGGCCAGGCTTGTCTTGAACTCCTGACCTCGTGATCCACCTGCCTCGGCCTCCCAAAGTGCTGGGATTACAGGCGTGAGCCACTGTGCCCTGCCAGGATAAAACAACTTTCATATCAATACATGGTTTTTGTTTTTGTTTTTGTGGGGTTTTTTTGGGTTTTTTTTTTGAGACAGAGTCTTGCTCTGTCACCAGGCTGGAGTGTAGTGGCACGATCTTGGCTCCACCTCCAGGGTTCAAGCAATTCTCCTGCCTCAGCCTCCCGAGTAGCTGAGACTACAGGTGCGTACCACCATGCCTGGCTAATTTTTGTAGTTTTAGTAGAGATAGGGTTTCACCATGTTGGCCAGGATGGTCTCTGCTCTCTGGCCAACATGTACGACCATCAGTACATGTTTTATTGGGAGGTGGGAGGATTACTTGATGCCAGGAGTTCAGGACCAGCCTGAGCAACACAGACTCTGTCTCTACAAAAATAAAATAAAACTTAGCGGGACATGATGGCCTGCATCTGTAGTCCCAGCTACTTGGGAGGCTGAGGTGGGAGGGAGGCTTGAGCCCAGTAGTTCCAGGCTATTGTGTGACCTGTGATGGCACCACTGCACTCTAGCCAGGGCAACAGAGCCAGATCCTGAGTCAAAAATAAATTTTTTAAAGAGTATTATTTCCTTATACAAATCTCCACTTATTTCTAGGAAATTTAGAAATGAGAAAAGTATTATTTGCAATATCTGGAATGCCAGAGTCTAACCTCACATATGTGCTCATAACCTCAGATAGTTGGTCTATGCTTGATAATTAATGGTTTTGAATTGCAGTGTTTATTAGTTTTGACCAGAATTAAACACAAATACCACACAGCAGGTTCAGCATTATAGAAAAAGCCTCTTAAATTGTTTTTAAATTAATGAATCTGTTATGTATGTAATTCAGTCAGTGTCAAAAAGAGAAGCACTTTATATACAAAAGGCATCTCAGACCCTGGGTTGAATGCAGCTTTTCATGACAACTAATTAGTATGTAAACAAACTTTGGAAGTCTAGATGTGTTTAAAGGGGCTTCCTTACAATTAATCCAGCCAGGACAATTTGTGGTTACAAAATACAGGACAGATGGAAATCTGACACCAGAGCCCATACCCCCAACAAATGGTTTAAGATTTATATCCTTGAAAATGTTGTTTGTCTTCATTTTCATCTAACAGCCCTTTTTTTTTTTTTTTTTTCTGAGATAGAGTCTCACTTTGTCACCCAGGCTGGAATGCAGCATCACCATTATGGCTCACTGTAGCCTCGACCTCTGGAGCTCAAGCTATTCTCCTGCCTCAGCCCCATGAGCAACCGAGACTACAGGCGCACCCCACCACACCAGGCTAATTTTTGCAGAGATGGGGTTTCACCGTGTTGCCCAGGCTGGTCTCCATCCAACTCCTGAGCTCCAGTGATCCTCTTGCCTTGGCCTCCAAAAGTGCTGGCATTACAGGCATGAGCCTGTTACAGGCCAAAAGAATGAGGGTCGTTGCCAACTCAGTATACCACTGGATTCTATATGAGCAAACAGAAAACTCTTCTCATGAAAGCAGGATGTTGGAAAACTAACAACTGCATCTGCCACCAGAAGGGGTGCTGAGGGCAGTCACGCCCCAAGCGTAGTGTTCCTTGTGATTATCTACAGGAACATCTGAAGCCTATTGTACAAAGAAAGCAATTATGTGTACCTGTGATAAATCAAGCATTTGACCAACCATTACCTCTCCCTCCCTGCTCTTTCTACCTAATAAATACAAAGGGCTGTAGAAGCTCAGAGCCCTTGCTCACTAGAAGCAGGCAGCCCCCTGACCCCTTCTTCCAAAAATACTCTTTTTGTCTTTGTCTTCATTTCTGCATTCGTCCCCCTTTGTTCACTCCCATAACAACCGACAGCGACAAGTCACCCGGGACAGGGACGTGAGTGAAGGTCTGCTAGAGCAGAGAAAGTGAAACTGACAAGAACAACGAGAACGAGAAACACTGGGAAGAGTCTGCCGGCAGCTGATATAAGGTCAGTGCCCTGAAGAGGTACTGGGAATGGGAAGTTTCTGAATCAGGGTAACATGGGTGAAGAATCTGGCTACTTCTTTTCTTTTTTATATTTGGAGTTTAGTTCATACTATTCTTCTGCCATTATTCATTCCTTATTCTGCTAGACAGCAGGAGTCATGTTCAGAGTCTAAAAATTTGAAATAATCTTTTCCCCCAACAGCACCAATTAAAAATAATAAACAGAAGCAGGAGGATGAAAATTGGCCTGTGTTGCCCCCTCTAGTAGCAGAAACATCTAAACTGCCTCCTTCAGTAGCAGAAATAGAGACCCCAATACAAAGAATTTTACACTCTGCTGCTATAGCTGGAGAACCCTTAGGAACTTGCGCTTTTCCTGTTTCCGTAAGGCCCGATCCAAATAATCCACAGCAGCTTATACATGAACACACCCCACTAGAATTTAAGTTGCTGAAGGAATTAAAAGCTAGTGTAGTTAATAATGGAGTACAAAGCCCATTTACTTTAGGATTGCTAGAATCTGTATTTGGCGCTATGCGTCTTCCACCCTTTGATGTAAAGCATTTGGCTTGCACTTGTTTGTCTGCTAGTGCATACCTGACACGGAATTCAAATTGGCAAGAACTGTGTGCAGACCAGGCTAGACAGAATCGTGCTGCTGGACACGGAGACATTACAGAGGATGCTGTCAGGTAGTGGCCCCTATTCAGACCTGGAACATCAAATGGCACTCCTAGACGCTGCTTATAAGCGGTGTGCCTTGGCTGCTAAACACGCCTGGGCCACAATTCCAGAGGAAAGGGTCCCAGTACAATCTTTTTTACATATCACGCAAGGGTCGCAGGAGCCCTATGCACATTTTCTTGCAAGATTACAAGAGGCAGTGAAGCGTCAGATTCCTCATACCATGGCTACAGAAATGCTAACCTTAACTAGCTTTTGAAAATGCAAACACGGATTGTAAACGTGCACTGGCACCTGTGAGATGTACAAAAAGCTTAGGAAATTTTCTCAAAGCTTGTCAGGATGTGGGAACTGAGCTTCATCGCTCCACAATGTTGGCTGAAGCAAAGGAATTATAGATAATCATTATCCATCAGACAAAGTTTTGCAATTTTATAAAGTTTACCCTTTTACCCACCTATTCCAGGTGGCCAGACTTACTTCACTGATGGCTCTTCCAAAGCTGAGCACCTATTTTATGGACCTAAGCATACTCAAATGATAAAAACCCCTGGTGTTTCAGCTCAATGCTCAGAATTAATGGCAGTTATTCAGGTTTTACAGCTCACTGTTTCCTCTCCTATTGTCTGTGATTTAGCCTATGTTGTAAATGTAGCCAGTCGCATTGAGACTGCTGCTATTAAAAGCAGAACTGTTTAACTTGTTTCCAAGACTTCAGCAAGCTGTTCGCTTTCATGCTGCTCCTTTTTCATATTTCTCATATTCGCTCTCACACACAACTTCCTGGACTACTATTTCTAGGTAATGATACAGCAGATAAATTGATTGGTTCTGTGTTTCAGCAAGCTCAAGCCTCTCATTCATTACTGCATTAAAACACCTCTGCCCTTATTCATATGCTTCATCTGCCTCGAAGCCAGCCTGTAGCTATTGTGCAAGCCTGCCCCACTTGTCAGCATGTCGCTGGTGTTATACCCATAGAAGGATGTAACCCACGAGGCTTAGCTCCAAATGAAATCCGGCAAACGGATGTAACACATATAGCAGCCTTTGGCAAACTTAGCTATGTTCATATGACTATAGACGCTTACTCTCATAAGCTGCATGCTACATGTCAAACAGGTGAAACAGCTGGCCATGTCCAACGACATTGTCTGTTGTCATTTGCCCATATGGGGGTCCCTAAACAATTAAAAACTGACAATGGACCTGCTTATGTTAGTCACGCTTTTCAAAATTTTTTAGTTATAGGCAATCACTCATAACCCTCGAGGACAAGGAATTATAGAGCAGCACATCAAACGTTACAACCTATGTTGAAAAAACAAAAAGGGGTCATAGGAGACCAGTTACCACCTCAAACAATACTACATTTAGCATTATTTACTTTAAATGTTTTAACTCCTGGTACAGATAATAAGACTCCGGTAGGATGACACTGGCAAATGTTAGAGGGAAAAAGGAAAGTTTACCCAAAAGTATTATGGAAATCCCTGGAAGAAGGACAATGGAAAGGCCTGGTAGATTTACTGACATGGGGACAAGGGTATGCTTGTGTTTTATAGATCAAGAAAACCACACAAGAAGATGAGAAACTGCTAGAGCATCAGGGTCAGACAAAAACCCCTGACTCCATGTTTATGACCATGCTAGCTGTAATATCCTGTGTGCTATGTTTTCCCTGTGCAGAGGCAAAAACATACTGGGCATACATTCCTAACCCCCCCAGTGGTACAACTGGTACTCTGGAGTGACACTCCTCCTGATATATATCATGATCAAGGAGCATGGGCACCAGGACCCTTAACTCCCCCTGACACAGAGCAATTAGACTCTCAGAACAATGGTATCAATTATACCACTCCATGGGTGGGACTTCCTTTATGCATCACCCAGGATACATCACTCAACTGCAGTTACCTTGCAATTCAATCCCAGGCATGGTTGAGTTACCATGAAAAATATATGTACCTATTGGGCCTTAGCTCTATTAATATTACTGGTGTAGTTACTAATCACTCCCGGCCCCATCACCCAAATTGTATTAATTATACAGAATGGGCTCCCTTTGATAATTCTAACCCCCATTCTTGGACCGTGTCTTAGCTCCCTAGCTAGACAACAGTCCATGTTGATGGGAGACATTATTGACTGGGGTCCCTGTGGTCATTTGGTTGGGAGACATAAGCATCAGACCTCATGGCATAAACTTTACTGGCACTGGTGGCAAAACTTTAACATCTCCTCACTACATCACATTGGGATTCAATCTCAATCTGCTGCCCAAATTGCTTGACACAGCTCAGGCTTTAGCCCACCTTTGCCTCAATGGCATTATCAAGGAAAGAGAGGTCCAATTCAGGAGTCAATATGGAAAGCAGCACTCCCATTTATGAATGACAGCATTTGGATTGGGACACAATCCAATAATAGTAATTGTGCTAAATGCAGTTTTAATGTTACCCTTGTAGAAAATATTACCACTCAATTTACAATTTGTGTTGCTAATCCTTATGTTTTCTTAGCAGCAAAAAAGAACCAACTCCAGGTAGATGATGCCCAATTCACTTGTGATTCCTTTCAACTATATCGCCTTAATTATAGCACAACACAAACATATGACATATCCATCCTAATAATTCTAGGTTGCATTCCAGATTATGAATTCCTATAAATTTATCTAATCCTTGGGCAGTCACCCCTGCTTTACAGCATATGAAACTCCTTTTTACTCAGCTTACTCATCGTGCTCATAGAGCCTTAGGCATGATCATTTTTGCTGTAGTCTCCTTAGTTACATTAATAACCTCTGTTGTGATGTCCTCAATAGCAATGCACAGCTCCATTCAAACAGCTCAGTATGTGGCAAACTGGACATGCACAGCCGACCAGGCATGGATGCTTCAAAATAAAATTAACACCGAAATACAAACAGAAGTGGCAATGTAAAGACTACTGTTCTGTGGCTAGGAGAACAAGTACAAAATTTGCAGTTGCAGCAGCAATTGCATTGTCATTTTAATCATACTCATATTTGTGTGACCAATTTGGTATATAACCAAAGTGAATATCCGTGGAGCCTTGTAAAAGCCCATTTACAGGGAGCTTTCACATCCAATGTTACTTTTGATATTAATGATTTACAAAGTAAAATCCTTAACTTGAATAAGTAGACTCAAGCATTTCAGTCCTCTTTAAAAGCTTAGGCAGAATTCCAGCAAGGTTTAGAGAGCCTTAACCCTTGGACCTACTTCAAATAGCACCTCAATGTCTTTTTTGTAACTATGGGATTAATATTATGTTTTTGTTTTTTGTTCATAGTCTGCAAAATCAGCTGGACCACGAAACGGCAATTGAGAGCTGCACAACCTGCAATTACCTTTATTCAAATAATGAAAAAACAAAAAGGGGGAGATGTTACAGGCCAAAAGAATGAAGGTCGTGACCAACTCAGTATACCACTGGAGGCCATATGAGCAAACAGAAAACTGTTCTCATGAAAGCAGGATGTTGGAAAACTAACAACTGTGTCTGCCACCAGAAGGGGTGCTGAGGGCAGTCATGCCCCAAGTGCAGTGTTCCTTGTGATTATCTATAGGAACATCTGAAGTTTGTTGTACAAAGAAAGCAATTATGTGTACCTGTGATAAATCAAGCAGCTAACCAACCATTACCTCTCCCTCCCTGCTCCTTCTACCTAATACGAATGGCTGTAGAAGCTCAGGGCCCTTCCTCACTAGAAGCAAGGAACGCCCTGACCCCTTCTTCCAAAAATACTCTTTTTGTCTTTGTCTTCATTTCTGCATTCGTCCCCCTTCGTTCACTCCCATAACAACCGACAGCAACATGAGCCACCATCACACCCGGCAATGTTTACTTAAAAATTACATTTTACTTTGCTTTGTCTCACATTACACTTATGTCAACATCTTCTCATCTTTCCAAAGAGTTTCACTAGTAACTGCCTGTTAAAAGCTGGCAGTCTCAAACTTCAAGCATGATTCTGCAAGCCAAAGCTGAATTAGAAAATGCAAAGCTTAAGAAAATCTTGGGCTAAATAAAGTAATATTGTAAATTTTAGTTTCTCCATTAAAGAATGAATAGGACTTACAATTTTCGTCCCCTATAACATCCAAGGAATTTCTTCATTGGGTCAAAATGTTTTTAAAACTGAGTCACATAGTCACACCTATGTAGGTGTCCACTGGCAATGGCTAATTCCTTGTGCCCTCTAGTATTAATAATTCTCTGATGCTAATCTCTAAAAGCATTAAAGATATTCAAAGAGGACCAGGAACTGTGGCTCATGCCTGTAAACCAAGCACTTTGTGAGGCCGAGGCAAGAGGATCCCTTGAGCCCAAGAGTTCGAGACCAACCTGGGCAATATAGTGAGACCCTGTCTCTGTAAAAAAAAAAAAAAAAAAAAATCGTAAAATTTAAAAAAAGAAAGTATTCAAAGAGCTTTTCACTGAAGATGGCTAACAATTGTCACCCTTTATCACTTCTGCTATAATTTTCATAATATACATGCCCTAACACAGTGACTCATAGTTGCCTTAATCAACTCATCTAATTCTCACCTTCTTCTGTTTTCATTGTAGCAATTTTATCATTTGCATTACAAACATTTAGTATGCTGTCAATTTTTTAAAATAAAAAATAGGTTGGTGGGCATGGTGGCTCACACCTGTGATCTAAGCACTTAGGGAGGCCAGGGTGAGTGGATCACTTGAGGCCAGGAGTTCAAGACCAGCTTGGCCAACATAATAAAACCCTGTCTCTACAAAAAATACAAAAATCAGCCACGTGTGGTGCACGCTTGTAATCCCAGCTACTAGGGAGGCTGAGACATGATAATCGCTTGAACCTGGAAGGCAGAGGTTGCAGTGAGCTGAGATTGTGCCACTGCACTCTAGCCTGGGCAACAGAGCAAGACTCTGTCTCAAAAAAAAAAAAAAAAAAGGGGGGGGGGCTGGGCACAGTGGCTTACGCCTGCAATCCCAGCACTTTAGGAGGCTGAGGCAATTGCATCACTTGAACCCAAAAGTTTGAGACCAGCCTGGGGAACGTGGCGAAACTCCGTCTCTACAAAAAAGTTTAAAAATTAGCCAGGCATGGTGGTGCATGCGTGTAGTCCCAGCTACTCAGGAGGCTGAGGTGGGAGGATCACCTGAGTTTGGGGAGGTTGAGGCTGCAGTGAGGGGTGATGGTTCACTGCACTACAGCATGGGTGACACAGTGAGACCCTGTCTCAAAAATAAGTAAAATAATTTTAAAATATATTTAGTATTGTCAATAGTATTGTCAGTAGTTCCCAATTTAGCATCGGGAAAAGAAATGCTAAGTAAAATAGCTTTGTGGGCCCATGGTGGCTCACACCTGTAATCCCAGCACTCTGGGAGGCTAAGGTGGGTGGATCAGAGGTCAGGAGTTCGAGACCAGCCTGACTAACATGGCGAAACCCCGTCTCTCCTAAAAATACAAAATTTAGCCACACGTGGTGGCGTACACCTGTAATCCCAGCTACTCAGGAGGCTGAGGCAGGAGAACCACTTGAACCCAGGAAGCGGAGGTTGCAGTAAGCCAAGATCACGCCACTTCACTCCAGCCTGGGTAATAGAGCAAGACTCTGTCTCCAAAAATTATTTTATGTATTTATTTGTTTTGAGACTGAGTCTCGCCCTATTGCCCAGGCTAGAGTGCAGTGGTGTGATCTCAGTTTACTGTAACCTCTGCCTCCTGGGTGCAAGCATTACTTGCACAATGCCAACAAATGCCAACAAATAAGGTAAATTAATTTCAGTGACTTCTAACTGCTGAAGAGAAATTAAAATATAATCATGGTGAAATAACTTTTTCTTTTTGACAGGATCTTGCTATATTGCCCAGGCTGGCCTTAGACTGCTGGGCTCAAGAGATCCATCAGCCTCAGCTACCTGAGTAGCTGAGATTACAGGTATGCACCACCACACCTGGCTCTGAAAGAATTTTCTTTTTTCTTTTTTTTTTTTTTTTTGAGATGCAGTCTCGCTCTTTCACCCAGGCTGGAGTGCAGTGGCGCGATCTCAGCTCACTGCAAGCTCTGCCTCCCGGGTTCACGCCATTCTCCTGCCTCAGCCTCCCCAGTAGATGGGAGGACAGGCGCCCAGCACCTCGCCCGGCTAGTTTTTTTTTGTATTTTTTAGTAGAGATGGGGTTTCACTGTGTTAGCCAGGATGGTCTCGATCTCCTGACCTCGTGATCCGCCCGTCTCGGCCTCCCAAAGTGCTGGGATTACAGGCTTGAGCCACCACGCCCGGCCAAGAATTTTCTAAAGAGATGATATTTGAGTTGGGCTCTGAATAATTCAGCTAAGCAAAGATCTGGGCAGTTTTCCAAGAGAAAAAAACAATAGTAACAAGCACAAAGGCCCTGAAACGGAAATAGACTTGGCATTTTCAAGGGACTGAAGATCAAATGACAGGTACAAGATGAGATCAGAAGTAAGGTGTAGGATCTTGGAAGCCAAATAAAGATTTTGGATTTTATTCTGAGTATAAAATATAGCCATTGGTACAGGGGGTGGCAGTTATATTATCTGATTTATGATTTTATCTTACTCTGGCTGCTATGTAGAAAGATGCATTGTATCAAGAAGAGAGGCAGAAAACTAGTAAACCATTGGAGTTCAGATAAGAGATGTTAGTGGCTTTGACTAAGGTTGTGGCAGTACAAATTATAAGAAGAGATCAGATCTGGGATATATTTTGGAGGTACAGCCAATACGTCACTGTGACGGCCTGGCTATGAAGGGGAAGGAAAAGAGAAAACAAAAGTGACATCTAGTTTGGGGGCAGAGCAACTAATGATATAAATTGAGATAGAAAAGGTTTATAGTAAGGGAATGAGGGGTGGGAAAGAGCAGATTGGGAGTAAATATTAGTTGGATATAGATTCACTGGCTGGAATAAAGAGATCCAGTGGTTTAAACCAGATTAAAAGTTCTCTTTCACGTAACAAAAATATAAGCAGTCTAGAGCTAAAATGTATGCTTCAGGTATTCAGAACCTACACTCTTTCTATTATTGCTCCCCCAACCCTAGAGCAGTGCTTCTCAAACTGGTTGTGCATGGTCCACCCAATGCTGCACTTCTTTGCATGGTCAAAGATAGTTCACCACCACATCCATTGGGTTAATGTTCCAGCTAGAGGAGGATGAGGAGGGGAGGGAGATATGGAGGGTCGGCCTCATTATTTAAATGTTTTGTCATAGAAACAATGTGTTTGTCATAGAAGCTGTACATATCCCTTCCATTTCTTATCCCCTTAGCCAGAAGTTAGTCACAAGACAATACCCAAAGGAGGCTGCACAATGTAGTCTTCATTTGGGACAATATCTTCGCAGCAAAATTTGGGGATTCTTTTACTAGAGAAAGAACATATATGGCTCATGGGGTCAGCTGAAAGTCACTGCCACAGATGAAACTTAGTAATTCAGCTTTTGGCTGTGATGATTTTGAGATGCCTGCTAGGCAGCCAAGTGGAGATCTTTAGTAGAGAGTTGGATAGAAATGTGTGGAGCTAAGGTTTCATCATAAAAGGAAATATAAATTAAGAGCCAATCAGTGCCAGGCATGGTGTCTCATGCCTGTAATCCCAACACTTTGGGAGGCCACAGCAAGCAGACGGCTTGAGTCCAACAGTTCAAGACCAGACTGGCTAACATGGAGAAACCTAGTCTCTACTAAATGCAAAAATTAGCCGGGATGCCTGTAATCCCAGCTACTCAGTGGCTGAGGCACGAGAATTGCTTGAACCTGGGAGACAGAGGTTGCAGTAAGCTGAAATGGCGCCACTGCACTCTAGCCTGGGAGACAGAACAAGACCCTGTCTCAAAAAAAAAAAAAAAAAAAAAAAAGGCCGGTCGCGGTGGCTCAAGCCTGTAATTCCAGCACTTTGGGAGGCCGAGACGGGCGGATCACAAGGTCAGGAGATTGAGACCATCCTGGCTAACATGGTGAAACCCCGTCTCTACTAAAAGTACAAAAAACTAGCCGGGCGAGGTGGCGGACGCCTGTAGTCCCAGCTACTCGGGAGGCTGAGGCAGGAGAATGGCGTAAACCCGGGAGGCGGTGCTTGCAGTGAGCTGAGATCCGGCCACTGCACTCCAGCCTGGGCGACAGAGCGAGACTCCGTTTCAAAAAAAAAAAAAAAAAAGGCCAACCAAATGTAGATGGTATTTGAATCTTTGGGACTAGGTAAAATCACTTAGGGAGAGAGTGAAGATACAGAAAAGAAGTCACAGGACTAGGACTTAGGGTGATGCAATACTTAGAGCTCTGGTAGAGGAAGAGGAGCCAACAAAGTAGACTGAGAAGCAGCAGCCAGTGAAAGAAGAAAATGTCTTCGAAGCCCAGAAAAGAAAGCAAATCTCCGAGAGCCGGCGTTCAACATCAAATGCTGCTAAGTCAAATCGTGGGGATGGAAAATTGAACATTTTGGCAGAAATTATTAGTGGGTGAACTTAATAAAATGTGTTGGTGGAGTGATGGGCATGAAAATCCACCAGAATAGTTAATGAAAGAAATCAGCATAAGGAAGGAAAGAAAGTACAAGTAATTGGAAGTTTTACAATGAAAAGGAGCAGAGAAATGGAGGTAGTCTCTTGAGTGAGATATGGGTCTAGGGTGAGGGAACAGCTTTTTATTGTTGTTGTTTGAGACAAGGTCTTGCTCTGTCACCCAGGCTAGAGTGCAGTGGTGGTATCATAGCTCATTGCAGCCTCAAACTCCTTGG